TGTGTGTGCGTGCGTGCATGTGTGGTGTGTGTGTGTGCACCAGTGTGTGTGTGCGTGCATGTGTGTGTATGTGTGTGTGGGCGTGCATGCGTGTGTGTACAGTGTAAGAGCTGCCAGTCAGACACCAGACAGGAGGTACACTGTAGGAAATGCAGGTGAGTCAGACCCTGCAGAAAGTGGCCAGCTCAGCAGAGAACAGCAGACACCTGCATCTACTGCACGGAGGGAGAGCACTAACACAACGGTGTACCAACGCTGCACGCTGCCCTGAGAAGAAGCACGAATAACCCTGACACATGAAGGTCTTTGTACACTGTATCAATTAAGATGGAGACGGTAAGACAACAAAAAGGCATGGGACATACGGAAAGTGGAAACAATCAGAGTCTGTTAGGAAAAAGTAATACATGTTTAAAAAAGAACAAGCCACTGTCTCTCCAACTGGCAGGTCTGGTGTTGGGCAAGCACACGGAAAGCAGATCCCCCCGCAGGTGCTGGCTAGGGTGTGAGCTTAGAGCACTTCCTGGGAGCAAAGAACAGTCTCTGCCTGCAGGAGTGCCACTCGTGAGCGCGAGACCGCGGGTATCTTTCGAATTCTAACCTATAGATTTTTACACTGTCTGGAATTCTTACAGACTGTGCTGCTAGGAAAAGTTTTAGGAAAGCATACAAAAAAAAAAAAAAAAAAAAAAAAAAAGTACAATGTAGAAGAAAAACCTACAAAGTCAGAGCAGGTGTCAGGTGAGTATAAAAAGAATGTACACCAAAAACAGCACAGGAAGCTGGACAGTGCAGAGAAACTAAACGAGGGAGGCTTGAACCACGAAAGGAGGGGCAGGTCTAAGGTGAGGAGCATGGGTCCATGAACCTATGAGAGAGGGAAAAGCAAGCCGTGCCCCGGGTGAAGGCTTACAGCCAGGCAGGTGGAGCCCTGTTTAGCGGTTCCCAGGCAGCAGAGGGTGTGTGTCTCTGAGGACCAATGCCTGCTCAGAGGTCAGCTCTTGACCCAGCACCCTGCTCTGTGAACGACATCACTGAGGCCAGCTCCTGTCTGGTGTGAGTTCAGACCTACTGATCTCCGTTCCCGTTTTGCTCCCAACAGCCCTGCATCCCCAGTTACCGGGAAATAGTGCTTTCTTGGTAGACGATATATAATAGCATATATTGGCTTGAAATGAAATAAACATTAGTAATACTCCCATCACGAAATTGGGGCTGGGGAGAGGGTTCAGCAGTTAATAGCTGCTCTGTGGAATCAATTCCGAGAATCCACACAGCAGCTCATAACTGTGTGTAACTCAAACCCCGGGGGATCCAATGTCTTCTTCTGGCCTGTGCAGACAAAAGTCCCGTAATAACCATAAAAATAAATAATTAAATTAAAATCCACAAGTTGCAAATTCACTCAGTTGCTTCATACTTGTAACTTTAAAGTAATCTTACTTTAAAGTTGATGTAAACCAAGCCTAGCACAGATGGATGATACACAGGGTATGTTAAATGGACAACAAACACTTGTAGTACAAGCTGAAATTTTAAAAACCAACCTTCTCTGCCCCACTTCTCAGATGGCTTCTGCAATCTAATGAACCTCCAAAGAGTGGACAGCTGAAATACCAAAAATCAACAGCTCATGATTCTAGATGCCGGTCGTATGAGTGCAAAGGGCCTGGTTAGTTTGTGCCGAAGGCGTCTCCAGTGTCATTACAAGAGCCCTGCTCTCCAGACCCCATTTGCGTCTAGAGACTCCAACGCCGCCAACACCCGAGGAAGGCTTTCCTATTCCTCCAGCAGGCGGGTCTGTGACATGGCCAGCTCATATCAACAGAACACACTCAGGACTTCACTTACTCAGCACCTCCCTCACGCCCCACAGGGAGGGAAGTGGTCAAACGACGGATAGGATGCATCAACAAGTGTCTACCAAGTTTCCAGGAAAGTCGCAGGAATAGGGAAGGGAGAAGGAGACCAACCTCACTTAGCCAGAGGTTGGGGGAAACGCCCTGAGGAGAATGCTGGGAAGAGAAGCAGAGAGGAACAGAAATGGGTTAATAATCAAGACAGAGCTAGCCAGTAAGAATCCCTAGCCATCAGCCAAAGGATTAAGTACTATGACCTAACTAATGACCCATCATTCCCACAATGCCCTTGTTCTCTCAGACAGATGTGCTGAGGTATAATGCCTTCTCACAGGGATCAATCAGAGAGCAAAGCCCCTCAGACCGGGCACGGACGAAGCAGACATCCATCAGACTCTTTCACCCCATACATGTTCCCAACAGAGGAAAGCCTGCAACTGGGAATCCTTCAGATTTTCATAGTGCAAACACGGCAATGGGAAACAACTCCCTTTCCCAACGTTTTCTCAGATGCCTTACCGTGCCCTCCCGACAATGCACACAGGTTCATCTTTCCTTCTTTGTCCTATATGAAACTCTGAAATTGAGAAAACTCCCTATACAGTGTGGTCACTAGATAAGCCATATGGAGTTTATGAGAATCTGCCCCATACGCGTCTCCGCGTTGACTGCTGAGGTCTGTGGCTTTGTTCTAGAATGGCTGAGGTCAGAGTCTAACCTCACATAAGTAGGGAAACAGAGCGAAAGCTTCCCTGGAGTCTGTAAACTGGTGTTTTAAAAAATAACAGGTTCCTTTGCCACTGGGTGAGAGCGAGGATTAAGCCGCATTACAAGTCTGTGTTTTCCTCTTGTGGCAATGCCGTTAAACACACACAAAAAAAAAAAAAAAAAAAAAAAAACCAGCCTATTACGAACACTTCCCAAGGACCTTTACTGGGAACAAAAACCCACACACCTGATCCTCCTCCCTGAGACACTGAGACACAACACAGAGAAAGAAGACTGATGTCAGGACAGACAAACATCCCTGGGGCAGACAGGGTGGCCGTCAACGGTAAAAACGTTATTTGTACCAAATCGTACATTACGAGGCCAACTTGAAACGTTATTTCATCTTAGAAAGCAAAGCTCCAACCTGTAATGAGTACGGTTTTTCTGCCCGCCACCTGCTCTTGTTCCACCACCAAGCCAGCCCCAAATAACACACAGAGACTCTGTATTTGATACAATGCTATTGGCCAGGTACTAGTTTCTTATTGGCTAGCTCTGCCTTAGTTATTAACCCATTTGTGTTAATCTATGTATGTCCACGCGTTCTTCTTACCGGGAGCCTGCAGCCGCATACTGCTCTCTCCAGACTCTCCATCTTGACTCCTCCTTACTACTTCCTATTTCCTCCTTGTCTCCTAGTCCCTCCTATCTTCCTTTCCTATTGGCCAACAGTGCTTTATTATTAACCAGTATGAGAAACATATATACATAATGGCATCTCCCATCACCAACCCATCGATGACTTCAACTCTGTCAGTACTGACTATGTTTGTGCACAAGCCTTTACAGAAACATCCATCCCCAAAGGTCCTGTGTTAACGGGGGACCAGGAAGTTTCTGCAGCCAGCCCTGAGGGACCCATGAGAACTGTAAGACTGCGTGAACATACAGCAGGATCGCATGTCTGTCAGAAGCTTCATACGAACTCAGAGACCTCAATCAATGTAAGGCGGACTCAAAACTGGGCATTAATTTTAATCTCACAGAACTTCCTCCCTAATGTGCTTGATACATCTAAAACTGTGGGAATGTCTGGACCAGAGCTGCATTTTCACCAATAACCCCTGCTGACCCTGACACTTGTAAAAGCCTCACCTCCTCCCCATGGTCCAAAAATGTTATGCTTCCGAAGCCAACACCACTTGAGAGACTCCTACACGTGATCAAGTTCATCTGCCAGCATGAAATACACAGTCTTAGCCCAGTCTGAGTCTCTGAGCTGCACCCGCGGAATTGATTCCCAGAATGGACTCAACGGCACCGGTCTAGGGTCTCACAGTAGTTCACGCGGCTCTGAACACTTGATGTTCTCCAGACCAAAGTTCTTCCACAATCCACCCACAAACTCGGACAGGTCTGCTACAGCTATGGTCAACTCTGGTACCAATTATTTCTGCCTTAATTAGGGTTTCTATGTTATGATAAAATGTCGTGTCCAAAAGCAACTCAGGGATTGTACATACATCCATCACCTCTCCTAGACATGAGCGTGTATCACAAAAATAACAGCTAAAGTTTTATACACATTCCATTTGTTGATTACTCCTTCCGGGGCAGCCAAAGCTCGGCTAGCATATGCCCCATGCTTACCTTAGGATGGCAGGTTTCCTTTCAAACTTGGAAATTAAACTGAAATACTATGAAAGCACACAAAAAGATCTCATTTTCCCTGTGAGAAATGAGGACTTTGCTTTCCTCGTTCTTTATTGCCGGTATTTCCAAGAATAAGCATATTATTTTGGAACTATACACCCTGGCATTTACTTTGGACATGCTTTCGATCCACACATACACTCCACTGTTGGGACATCCTGGAATACGTCACGCAGTTTGTTTCATGACGAAGACACTGCAGAGATCCCGTCAGCACTCCACCACCCTCGTCAACTTAAAGAAACTAGCTCCTCTTTCTTTAACTCTCCGCATTTTCAGAAGACACACATGTTAGATACCTGAGTACAAAATGCATCGTCTACCCACCCTAAGCTATAGGAAGTATGAGTTGAGCCACCCAGCGTATCCTACAGGAAATGTGGGTTGGATCCCCTCACCCTTTTCTACAGGAAATGGGAGCACCCAGCTCAGGACAAACCTGGAATAATCTCAGCCAGTAAGCAGCAGGCTTCCCAGTCCAAGTGCTCCAGAGTCTGGAATCTTCTACCTATAATGACTTCCCCAAATCTCCATTTGCAAGCCTCTTCCAAATGCTCTGCACATTAGCATGGTGTCGGCAATCCGATGCCACTGCCACAAAAGTCATGACAGCTGGAGACGCCGCTTTCCAGTGCATCCCAGAATGAAGTCCCACACTCACACGGGACAGCCACTGAGCATGTCTGGAAACAAGAGCATGTTCAAGGGGCTGCTCACCTGCAGCTCACGGTAGCGGGCTTGGAAGGACACGGCATCCTGCTCCTTTTCCTTCAGGAAACCTTCCTCCAGGACACTGTGCTTCTCCATCAGAGAGTCCACGTCCTACGAGGAACACACACAAGCTCTGCAATTCTGTAGCGTTCCGTGGCATGAGACACTTCAGTAAACAGAAAATGCATCAGGGAAGACAGCTGAAAGTCTAACAATTAGGCCAAAATCAAATTAATAAATGTACAAAAGCAGGGGCTGGGGAGGTGGCTCAGAGGGCAAAGAGCTCGCTATGCAAGCAGGAGGGACCTGAGTACACACACACACACACACACACACACAGCCAAGTGTGTCCATCCACAGGCATCTGCAACCCCAGAACACAGAGACAGACTCTGGAGTACACTGGCCAGCCAGCTTAGTGGAAACGGTGAGCTCCAGGTCAGGAGGAGACATGGTGTACACTGATAGGTTAAGGCTTCCCGAACTGACCTCTGACCTGCACAGAACACGTACGGTGGGGGCATGTCCTCCTACATGCATAAAACCACGTACATACAACCATGTACATACAAGCATGTACACATATCCTACTATGTGCACTGAATTACCCTTCAGCAACTTAAAATGTGTACAGTGAAAATGATACAAACCGCTGCATTGCTTGTGGAAGCAGGAAATGGAGGTTTGCCAACATGCACCTACAGCACACAGAAGGTGTGTCCCTGAGTGTGTCTGACGTGGGCCTGGTTGAATGAGTTGGTGAATGCATGGGTGTGCTAACCACTTCGACTAGAGACTTTTGCTCAAGACTTACTTAGTCTTTTATTTATGTGTATGTGTGTTTGCCTGCATGTACGTATGTATGTGTACTACATGCACACAGAAATCCTTGGAGGCCAGAAGGAGGCAGGGAGCTGGAGTTACAGACAGTGGTGACCTGCCATGTGGGAGATGGGAACCAAACTCAGATCCATTTGCAACAACACCGAATGCTCGTAACCAGAGACACCCATCTCTCTAGCCCGTGACCAATGGCAATCTGATGTGACTGACCCGGACCTCCAGCCCAGGGAAGACAACATGTTCTTTGGTGAATTTCCAATCCACTTTGGGTTACTGCAAATCGCTAGCATATATAATTCTATATTCCCAGGCAAACACGCACGCACGCGCACGCACACACGCGCACGCGCACACAATAGGTAAATGCACACACACTAGGTAAATGCGCACACATGCGCACACATGCACACACATGCACACACACACACACACACACACCTTTTTAATTCTCTGTTTTTCCTCTTCAGATGCTTTCAGTTTGGTCTCCAGACTTGATATCTTTTGCTGGAGCTGAGAGCTGGACGCGTCAGCTCCAGGGCCCTCGGGATCATCCTCTGGTACAATCGCTCCACGGCTTGTCTCATCCGTTAAGCCAAGTGGGAACAGTGGGATGTTCAGATGTGCATGCGCCGACTGCTGAGTCTAAACCGTGTTAGCAGGGAAGAGTCAGACCATCCATCCCGCAAGGAACCGGTCAAAGGGCATCATAAATCACATTTGGAATTAAGTTGTGGTGAATCATTCCCCTCTCTGAAGTGAATCAACAGAAGACGTCAAGCAATTACAACAGCCTGATGTTTGAAATCTAAAGAAAAGTTCTCTAACATCTACAGTCGTTACTGTGTCTGCATTGTTGCCAAACACACTAAGACACTTAAAACCTTTATGTGCACAAATGCATGCTCAAGCACAGATACGTCAGAGATGTGCCTACTCTGAAATGTATGCACAGGCCTAGGACTCGTTTACAATTAAATTGTAACTCAGAATTTCACACTCATTAATGATGCTAATTTACCAACCTCTAGCAAAATTAGCAGGTTACCGAAAACTGCACCTGACACTTTAAAACTGAGTTTTGGAACCCTGCCTGCAGGACCCAGCATGATCCCTAGTTCTGCAGATATCTGCCTGGATGAATACAGTCTGATGACAGCTGCCTTTGGAGGCTTTTACCCTAAAACTGAAGTGGATGCTCTTATACCTGAGAACATGTTAATACTCCAAGAAAAACTACCCTTTCTAATAATTATTTCCCCTTTTGAAGTTTTAACTTTGAATTTAAGTTTGAAATGCCAAAACAATTCTTTTTTTTTTTTTTTTTTTTTTTTTTTTGTCATTATTCTCCTTTACGTCCAAGATAGCAAATGCAAAGCTAGGTCCACTGTAGTGACCACACACAGCTGTTTACCTTAGTAAAGCATCGACCTCGGTGGCAGAAATGCCACCAACTGAGTACAGACAGGCCAGATGTTCTTCCACATAGATAAATTGTAAGGTGGTCAAAAACAGTCAGCTCTGTATCCTAGCTCAGTCTGAGAGGCCTGGCAGCAATGCTCCTGTAGGAAGTTTTATCCTGTGTGCCTCAGTTTCTCACCTTTCAAAAGGGGAATCGATGGTACACTTGTTTTTAACATTTACCTTTACCTGGGGGAGGAGGGGTGTCTGTGTGCGGATGTGTGCATGTGCTCCAGGTGACATCCCCTAGAACTGCCTGACGTGGGTATTGAACCCAGGACCTCTGCAAGAGCTGCTCAACCCTCTCGACGGTCCCAGTAGTATTTACCCTGGTGGCTGGAAGACGAGGAAGGAGTTGATGCATGGGAATTTACGCAGGAAGCTGTGTGCTCTGACTGGTCTTTAAGCTCACTGGATGCTTATGGAATGAATCCTGCCAGCTAGCTTTCTTTTTTGAATCCAGTGTCCTCTGGGCCCCTGAATGGAGCCATGGGCCTGAGTACCAAGTCAATTTGAGTAAATGTGACTTTTGTAACCGAGGTACTTAAATTTTTTGCAATCATGTCACAGCAGCATTATCTAGTTTTGGGTTTTTTGTTTTTTTGTTTGTTTGTTTGTTTGTTTTGTCTTTTGTTTTTCTTCTTTTTTTTGGTTTTCTATTTGTCTTGTTTTGTTTTGTTTTTTAAATTCTAAACTCTGGCCTCAAAATTAGACTGTCTTACTATTTACTACAGAAATATCTCTTTTGGGAAAACTCATCCTAAAAAGAGGTCATGAGAAGGTGAATTAAGTCCGTGCAAGCTGCCTTCTGAAACGCGGCCTGCACTCACCTGAGCTTTGGGGATGGTCTGACTCACAAGGCCGCTGTCTGCGCGGGTGTCGTCTGGCGATGAAATGACAGCATCTGAAGACAGGCGGCCAGAGGACGCAGATGAGTGGTCATGGTCCAGGAGGAGCTCCGGAGAAGCTGGTGACAGGTGCACTCCGGATACTGAGGGCAGAAGCAGGAGACTGGCATTAGGAGACGAAACAGAGACAGGGTGGGTGGGCAGGAAAGCAGCACTGAGAAATAGAGACTCTTATGAACAATGTCTGAACCCAAAGGACTGTGATGCTTGCACATGAGCCGCAGACACGATATGCTTTAACGTCTTTAACACACATACTAGCCTAGCCCAATGCGGTTGTCCATTTCCTCCCAGAGAAAACATTCAAACTACAACTCGACACATCCACTCACTAACTCAGGAAAGTGACTGAACTCTGTTTAAAGGGGCACTGGCCAGGAGTGCTTGTGAAGGCCGGGGGGCTCAGGGAGACGCTGTCAGACACTAGTGACCCTGGCTCCAACCTCACGGAGCTCAACGGCCAAACATTCACTGTGGCAAATAAAGACAGAGGGAGGGAGGGAGGGCTACAGTAAAAATCTGGAAGATCCCTTGTGTGATAATTTTTTTTAAGGTGTCGTGTTAAAGCCAATTTTCACTTCCTGGATTGTTTCCACAAAAGTAACGCTGAGACACAATTTTGCTGTTAGATAGATGCACGATAAGCCAGCTCTACTGTGCTTAAGGCTCTCATTAGAAAGTTATGGAAGCGGCTGATTGACAAGTGCAGCAAAAAAAAAAACAAAAATCCAAATGAGGAAAAAACAGATACTTTTATCATTTTATTTTTTAAGTACTTCTAAAAATTCAAATGAATCTAACATGTTTTGAAACTGAGGAGTCATCTTCAGTGGTCAACTCATTCACACACCCAACGGCCTAACTGCAATGACCTTTATTCCACATTGGCATCAGTGGCTCTGTCCTCGGGTCCTACCACAAACTCTGAAGGTGGTTCACAATGGAAATTGCGTGTTCCCCTGAAGAAAGACACATAGAGGTCAGTGAGTCCTAAAGAGCTAAAGGCACAGATTTCTGATAGTCATCTTAAGGAACTACTTAATCATGTACAGTTTTATTGTACCTAGCAATGTCGTGGTTTTGTAAGAGTATGCTACACACTGGATGGAAGAGATGGACAAGATGTATGAAATTCTCAAAAGAAAATTAATTTAGCTGCAGAATCAGCGTGCATGCGTGTGTGTGTGTGGTGCATGTCTGCATGCATGTGTGTGTGCGTCTGTGTGTCTATGCGTGCATGTGTGTGTGTATCTAGCTACACAAAGTTATTTCAATTTTTTTCAACTCAAACACAGACAGACAGAATTTAATTCAAGTTTGAACTTGGTATATATTTTTCAGAATTTTCCCCCAAATCTTCCCTATGTATGGTTAAAGTGAATTCTCTAAAAATGTTAAAACATTCCAGTCTCTCATTCTGATTTTTCAGTGCTGGCAGGAACTCTGAAGAACATGAACTGAATATTGCCTGGAACCCCAAGCACGGAAGAGTGGCCTGTCCTTCTGTCCGCCTGTGTCTTCTGCAAAGCAGACAAAACTACAAAGCTGGCTTGCAAGTGAGCACATTGATCCTGCCAGGACAGGTATTAAATGTCCTGGACGAAACGTGTTCACGAACAAAGTCTAAGTGCTTCCACCCTTGTGTTTCCTGTCAACTTGACACAGCCGGGGTCATATGGGAGGGCAGGGGCTCAACTGAGAGACCACCCCCACCAGAGTGGCCGGCGGGCAAGCCTGCGGTGCGTTTCCTTGTTTGGTGGTCCTGTACAGTACAAGGGAGCAGGCTGAGCAAGCATGGGGAGCAAGCCAGTGAGCAGCATCCTCCATGGCCTCCAGCTTCCTGCCCAGACTCCCCAGGGTGGTAGACTTGCAAGCGGAAATAAATCCTTTCCTCCCCAAACTGCTTTTGGCCATGGTGTTTTGGCACAGCAACGCAAACCCTAACTGAGACAGCCGTAACGCCTAGGTGTTCCATCTTTGCCGTGATGTGAAACAAGACGCCAGGTAATCCTCAGGTAAGTTCTCTGAATGCTGAATACCCAAGCGCATCGTGTGAAGAAAAGAACAGAAAGTAAGAGAGGGGAGGGCCTGGCTCTCGGGGGCGGGCACCACCAGCCCGCCCCTTCCCACCCCTGCAGCCGATACTTAAGGTGCCAGGCTGTCAGCCTCCTACTTCCTTCTACCGCGTTCAAGCCCCCGTCGAATCTCCTGCCACCCAGGCCCGCAAAGCAGTGAACACCAAGTCCCGGTCTGGGGGACCAAGTGGCCCCTGGCCCTCTGGCTCTCTGCTCTCACCTGGATGCCACGAGGATCCATTTAGATGTCCCACAGGCACACGACAGTTAACCTGCCACACTTCACACAGCCCAGGTCAGCCTCATGTTTCACTCTCCATTAACTGAACACCAAGTCAGTGCTACCTCATCCAGTCACACTGTGTTGCTAGCCTCCACAGTTCTGCCACACTGCCCAGGGCCTCTATGATGTCACAAAACCAGTGCCCAAACACTAACCAGTCTGGGGAGTCGGATCCGCCTTCCAATGTAGACAACAAGGGACTTCCTCGTTGGACAGCTGAGGCGGGTTACGTGAGGTCTGCAGAGCGGCTGCAGCCTCCTCTTACAAAAGTGGGAGAAAATGTGCACCGCAAGCCTATACACTTCAAATGCTTACATGCGCTGAGGGCGCTTAACTTCGGGCGCGAGCGTAGACACGGCGGTGACTGGGAGCCAGAGCGGCTTTTCCCAGGAGCATCCACCTGTCCCTTCATCCGCTTAGTCACGATGTAATTCTAATTACCTGCTTTCAGTTAAGAATATTATTGAGTGTCTAAGAAGTACATGACCTTACAGATTACTCACTAGAACCTGCAGTATACATAAAGCAGTAATTAGGAAATGTAGGTGTGCATATCTACACATATACTCTAGGGACTTCAAAAAAAAAAAAAAAAAAAAACTGATTACTTTCCAGATCAGAGATAATACATGTATTTTTTAAAAAAGATTCATAAAATAATTCGTCTAAATTTTTTAAATTCTGGGTTCAAAGGCAGAGCTAAGGATAAGAACTAATCTGATAAAAATGGGCAACACACAAATGTACACAACTAAATGATAATAGTCACAGCTTTAAAATAGGAAACTTCCCTCATTTTAGGCCTTTACACTTCTAAGTAATTAATTTTAAATTTTTTATCAAAATGGCAAGTGCTTAAAGAAACAGTTTGCAAACTTAACTTTGTTAGTATTTTAAAACAGGTCTCTTGAGGGATATACCTTTTCCTTAGGGGGAAATTACTCTATTAGGCAATAACCCCAGAGTCAAGCATGGCTTCGTGGGGTATCCAGCCCCAATGATATCACAAGGCTTTTATCACCAAGAGCCAAACCTACATAAGCCCAACTCTGAAATAAAAATTCATTAATGGGAATGCATTATTCAGACTAAACTACAGACAGAGTGGATCTGAGGAAAGCCCCTGCTGCCAAGACTGGCAGCCTGAGTTCAATCCCCAGCACAGGTATGGTAGAAGGAGAGAACAAATTCCTCCAAGCTGCACTCTGACCAACAGAGTGAGAGAGGGAGGAAAGGAGGGACATAGGGAGGAGGGAGGGAGGGGGAGGGAGGGAGAGCGGGAAGGAGGGAAGGAGGGAGACACCTGAATGCCCACCCAACATAGACACACAACAACAACAAAACTTGAATGCTATTTCCAAAAGGCAGTAAAAACAAAAGCTTTTAGGAAAAGGATTCTCTATAAATGAAGTAAAAGCTGTAGTTAAGTATCAGTGAACAAAATCTAAAAGCAATATTAAGGAAACAGAACCCAGCAAACAAGCACCATTTTGTTCAGGGACTAAAATGCGGATTCACTATTGGAAAACTCCTCAACACTCCACGAAGTACACTAATGAAGATGGCACAGTTGTATCCAACACTCTGAAAACGCCTTTGCTAAAACTGAATGTACTTCATCAACCATCTCTCGATAAAAAGCAAGATGATGATCTTCCACCAGCCCCACGCCCTTTAACCTAGGAAAGGCACAAATCGATCAGCTAAACCAAAGAGCTCACATGACAGCATGTAACAGAAGAAAAGAAGGAAGCCATCTTGGTTCCCACCCTGGATCTCAGACCACAATTTATTCCATAAAGTAGCAAGACAAACTTTTAAAAAAATGCATTGGTGGTATTTACATGAAAGCATGGTTTAAAAAAAAAAATTAAAAATACCAGGAGTGTTCCGCCAGTAGCCTGCAGCCCAACCCAAACCATCCACTTATTTTAAACACTGAAGGTTTTTCACATATATAAACACACAGATATATATTTATTAACTAAATGATAACATCCCGTTCTAACGTCAAAGGCCTGGATACCCCATGAGACCAATGGCAAAATAGCTGCTGTTATTCAGTACAAGGTAAAATACTTCATAAATTTAGCAAACAATCTGAGGAAGGCAAATAGTCACCAAAGATACAAAGGGAAGCATTAGGCGGACACAAAGAGCCCTGGAAGCCAAAGAACTCAATGCCATCCAGTTACCCATCCTTACTTGGTTAAGTTATAGACTCAGTGTGGTCCCTGTTCACTACCAACAGACTTGTTAATGGGACAAAATGAATGCACAGTGCAGGCCACAGGAAAAAGCAGCCACTGGGGTGGCTGGCTTTCTCTTCCTCGGTGAAACGCGGGGCCCTGATGGGCTTCCATCCTCGTGGAGAACCAACCCCTGTGTGAAGTTACTATGAAATACGGCAAAACTTCCGCCAGTGGAGGAGGCAGCGATGCAGATCAGAGCACCCTGAAAGAGACTCGCCCAAGGGGGGTATACGCACAGAAGGGATGATGGCGTGCCGAGTCACCGAGGAAAGACACAAAATAAACGCCTCATAAAATCAAAGGTTTCGGGGCTGGGAGACGGCTCGGCACCTTCACACAAAAAAAAAGATCATATAAAAATTAGCCTAAAATAGGGATGAGGTCATCAAGGAAAATGTCATAAATGTCCAGTTACTTTTAAAAAATAACTGAATGATTACAGAATATACAAAAGCTTTTTGGCTTGTCAAAGATTACCTTTAGAGTGTAACAACTGTCAAAAAAAAGCGTAACAATTGCCAAGTTAGAAAAAGATGTTTGCAAACGTACCACAAAGAAGCTCCGGTACTCTTACTATGTAAAGAACTTAAAACTGAAAGATTTTAAAACTTATAGATGACGCAAATGAGAAGGAAAAACTAACAGAAGGCTTTGGAGTTGTTAAGTGGCTAAGCCCCCAGCAGGAGGATGAAACAGAAGCCAATGGGCCAGGTGGGCGGACAGGTGGGGACTCTGTGGGGAGACAGAAGGTGAATTTGTGAGTCTCTCTCCCTCAGCATCGGCTTCAGGGACTTCTGAACCTCATTACCATTTCACACACTCAATATACTTATAAACAGTTAGGCTGGACATAGGGGAACTGAACCCTCCGATAGATCACACGAAAGGCAGAAAGTGAACTAACCATACTTCAGAAGACTGTCCTGTCCGTCACTGTGATGAATCCCATAACCAAAAGCCATCTGGGGAGGAAAGGATTTGCTGACTGATGCCAAGACAGGGTCTCAAGGCAAGGGTGCTGTTTGACATTTGTTTAATCCGCTGCATTGGCTTAGCTATGAGGAGGTGTGTTATAGCTTCACCTTGCCTGCCTAAGGCACTTGACTGGTCTAATAAAAACCCGAACAGTGCATAGCTAGGCAGGAGACGGAGAGGTGGGGACCGGTAGGCAGAATAAACAGGAGGGGAGATGAAGGCTCAAGAAGAATGAGAAGGAGAAAGAGAGATGGGGGAGGGGACAGAGGGAGAAGTCCAGGACCAGCCTGACTGGCAGCCACCGGCCAGCAGACACAGAGTAGGATACACAGAAAGAAAGGTAAAAACCACCAAGGCAAAACACAGATGAAGAG